AATATATAATATTATTCAAACATTTTATATTTATTCATCCTTTTTTCACCAGTTGCTTATCAAAAGAAATGAATATTAAAGACAACTAATCTTTTTGATTTAAGACACTTGCTTTTTATCTTGAGTTTTTATGAGACATTCATTGAGCTAAACATTTTATAATAAATTTGTGTAAATTATTAATAAATATCAAAATAGAATAAACTTTTAAATTATAAATTATTCTTTAAATTAATAAATAAAATAATATTAGTAGAATAAAAAAGATAAAAAATTAAAATAAATAAAAGTTATCAAATAAATTCAAAGAGCTTTTTTGTTTTATATTCATTTTTATAATTTAAAATATCACAATCCAAAACAAATAAACTATTTTTACGAAAGTTCAAGTGTCAAATTTGAGAGATTAATTGAATTTGCTAAAGCAGAGCCTAAGCCTGATGCACTTTTATCACCAATTTAATTGTCACTTTTTAAATATTGAAGAAAAAATATATCATTAAATAGTTAATTAGAAGGAAAAAATGAAGAAAAAATATGAAATAATAAGATTAATAAATAATAAAGGCAAAAGTTGAAAATAAAATGATGAGCTAAATTAACAAAGAAAGAACAAAAAAAAGCAAGCACAATAAAAAGAAAAAGAAAAAAGAGCTTTATTGTTTTTTATTAGTTTTTATAATTAAAAATATCACAATCCAAAACAAATAAACTGTTTTTACCAAAGGTTAAGTGTCAAATTTGAGAGATTAATGCAATTTGCTAAAGCAGAACCTAAGCCTGATGCACCTTCATCACCAATTTAATTGCTACTTTTTAAATATTGAAGAAAAAATATATCATTAAATAGTTAATTAGAAGGAAAAAATGAAGAAAAAATATGAAATAATAAGAAATAAATAATAAAAGCAAAAGTTGAAAATAAAATGATGAGCTAAATTAACAAAGAAAGAACAAAAAAAAGCAAGCACAATAAAAAGAAAAAGAAAAAAGAGCTTTATTGTTTTTTATTAGTTTTTATAATTAAAAATATCACAATCCAAAACAAATAAACTGTTTTTACCCGAGGTTAAGTGTCAAATTTGAGAGATTAATGCAATTTGCTAAAGCAGAACCTAAGCCTGATGCACCTTCATCACCAATTTAATTGTTACTTTTTAAATATTGAAGAAAAAATATATCATTAAATAGTTAATTAGAAGGAAAAAATGAAGAAAAAAATGAAATAATAAGAAATAAATGATAAAAGCAAAAGTTGAAAATAAAATGATGAGCTAAATTAACAAAGAAAGAACAAAAAAAAGCAAGCATAATAAAAAGAAAAAGAAAAAAGAGCTTTATTGTTTTTTATTAGTTTTTATAAATAAAAATATCACAATCCAAAACAAATAAACTGTTTTTACCAAAGGTTAAGTGTCAAATTTGAGAGATTAATGCAATTTGCTAAAGCAGGACCTAAGCCTGATGCACCTTCATCACCAATTTAATTAGACCTTTTTAAATATTGAAGTAAATATATATCATTAAATAGTTTATTAGAAGGAAAAAATGAAAAAAAAATATGAAATAATAAGAAATAAATAATAAAAGCAAAAGTTGAAAATAAAATTATGAGCAAATTTAACAAAGAAAGAACAAAAAAAAGCAAGCACAATAAAAAGAAAAAGAAAAAAAAAAAAGAGCTTTATTGTTTTTTATTAGTTTTTATAATTAAAAATATCACAATCCAAAACAAATAAACTGTTTTTACTGGAGGTAAAGTGTCAAATTTGAGAGATTAATGCAATTTGCTAAAGCAGAACCTAAGCCTGATGCACCAATTGCACCAATTTAATAATTTCTTTCATAAAATTTAATTATTTAAATAAATAAAAAATATTAATAATAATAAAAGTAATTTTTTTAATTAAATATACCTCAAATTAATATGGAGAACCTAATGAGATAAAAGTGAAGAGCTTTTAAACTTTTTTAATTAATTTATATAAATTTAAAGGATATTAATTAAAAAATTAATAATTACTTCTTCCAAATTATAATATTATTTAATCTATTATATCATTTTTTTTTTTTTTCAAAAATATTGAATAGCAATTTATGAAATTTAATTAATTAATTAATAATAAATGGTTAAAAAGAACAAATAAATATAATAATTAATTAATTATCAAATATTAATTTATATATTTGGTTTTATGAAGAGATATCACAGAAAATTAATTTAACATTCACTATTTAAAATTAATAGAGAATATGACCTAGACCATTTTCTGTTATCATTAAGAGACCCCTAACTTTTCTCGACAGACATACCACACCACAACACCTTAAAACAACAACCATCGATAAACTAAGGCTTCAGATACCCTTCTACCCATACCTGAATTTTTTTATAAAAAAAACAGTAACAAAAATTAAAAAATAGTGATTTTAACTATTTTACAGTAAAACCATAAGCCTCAGTAATACCTCAACCCTACCTCTACAGTGTACAATTTATATCAACTTATAAAAACAAATATTAATTTTAAATAGTGAATGTTAAATTAATTTTTCTGTGATATCTCTTCATAAAACCAAATATATAAATTTATATTTGATAATTAATTAATATCTTTATTTGTTCTTTTATCCATTTATAATTAATTAATTAATCAAATTTCATAAATTGTTATTCAATATTTCTGAAAAATAAATAAATGATATAATAGATTAAAAGATATAACAAATTAGAAGAAGTAATTATTAATTTTTATATTAATATCCTTTAAATTTATATATATTAATAAAAAAAGTTTTTAAGCTCTTCAAATTTACCTCATTAGATTCTCCATATTGATCTGGGGTATATTTAATTTAAAGATATTATTTTTTTTATTATTAATATTTTTTGAAGATTTGATTTTCAATTTATTTAAATAAATAATTTTTATTATTGAAATTATCATCATTATTTATTTAATGATTTTTATTAAAACTAAAATTTTTTAGCTATTTTAACTTAATTTTCATTTCAATCTTTAATTAGTTATTTATTATTCATTTTTTATAATTTGATACTTTTTCTTCATTTTTTGCAATTAAAACTTACACTAAAAAAAAGCTATTTATTTGTTTTACATTATAATAAGAGGAAAAGTGAGG